ACATATGCATAATTATTTCTATTCGTCTGTATGTAAAAAGAGGTTACGGTTATCCAACCGGTTAATTATAATAGTAAGTATATCATATTTAGCTAAATTCAGCTATTTAAGAAAAATCCATTATTTTTTTTACAGTTATTTTTCATTAATCCAAATTATTGAACGGAATTAGCTAATCCATTATTTAAGTAACATGTTAGATTTCGTTGGATTCAACCAAATTTTGCTATCCAGAATAGAAAACAAAAATATTAATGGAATAAATTGGGTTTAGAAAATAATTAAATAAAAGATTAATAGTTTTTAAAAATTTAATATACTTATAAACATAAATATTTAATTTTGACAAACATAATTTAAATTAAAATATTTTACATAAATTTAACAAATTTATTTTTTTTTTAAAATTCTGCAAGATTCAGCTGTTACCATTTGAATTTAAGGTTATTCCGCAAGATTCTGCAAAAAGTCACAAAATTTTTTGCAAAATTCTGCGATTCTACGAAATTCCTCTGTTACTATTTACACCAAAAGAATCATTTTTATTATTATCATGGCGAAACGAGATTTGTTCATTGTCGGGCTCTTTTAGGTTTTGGTAGGTAAAATAGAACAAAATTTCCTTTTGTAAAAGCTATTGGAATGATATTACCTCTTGCGTATTTATTTTTCAAAATTTTGAATAATACTACTTAGTTTCAAAACGTAAAAAAATGTATTATACTTTGATAAAAAAAATATTGATCTGACAACTAATGCTCTAACACGAAAGTAACATTCAAAAATGTAAGAAAACATTTGATGGTCTGAATCATGAATTGTTTATCTTACTTATCTTCCAGACCGAGCCTAATCCAAACAAATGTATCAAAGCTCGCTAATCAAAAAATGGTACAATACTTACAGCATATCTTTAAGTTAACCTAGGTTTTAGTTTAGGACATAAAGAAACAAAATTAGTTTAGTCCCATTAAATATGATTTTAGTTTTAGTCTATCAGTTTTTGAATTAAAATTTATCTTTACTATAAAAAAAAGTTCAAAGAATTTGAGTTACGTTTCATTTTTTTTTTGTTTTTAGTTAGTTTGGTTCAATTTTATTTGATTATATAGAAAAATAAATCAATTCTTGATCAATTTAGATATTTATTTTGTTTTCTGATTTATTTTTTAAGTCAGATTTTTAATTTGTTTTGGACTGGAATTATATTTTTTTGGTGATAAAAAAACACATGTGCTCTCAAACTTTTATGATTTTTCAGGGGAGACTCTCTTTTCCCATTCTTCTTTTTTGTGGGAAGCCTCTTTCTGGCCACATCACATGCACGAGGATCGATACTTCCGCTCCTCTCTGACTCGATCACACCTTTTTCATTTTTTGCTATTTAAGTGTAAAACTATGATTGACCATGCTTCATTCATTTCTACAATTGCTTTCCTTTTACTAAATAAGAAAAAGTTTGTTCTGCATGAAAATAAATATTTTTCAATCTATATGACACGTAGATATGGAACTGTACAAAAACCCAACTCTTTTCCTTTAAATGTATATATTCATTATATTCTCATATACATTATGTGGCATAACTAATTTGAGTAGTTTTTTTTTCATTTTATTCAAGTGGTGGTGCGGAAAAAAGCTCTTCACCCACCATCTCTCTCTCTATACACTATACTAAACCA